ACTTCGAGCCAGCTCGTCCCTGGGGCCGACCCCAGATGTCTGCCTCTTCTCTGCTAGAGGCTTGGCGACCACAGCCCTGGTCTCCAAGGCCCACCCCACATTTCTCTTCCAGGTATTCCCCGTCGTGTGCATTTGTTCCTCTGTGAGCTAAGTGGATGTGGTACTGTCAAGGTTCCCACCGCCAGGAATCGAGTGTGAATTCCATCCTGCCAGACTGCACCCATTAAAGGCAGCTCGGCCGGCACACCAGGCCACCCGCTGGGGGGCAGAGGCCAGGCCCTTGGGTTCTTACCTTTGTAGAAATGGCCTTCCTTTCCACCACTTACCCCTCCCCCACCCAGCATGAAGTGTTTGCTTGTGGTCCGTTCAGCTGGCCTTCCACCCAGAGCAGGGCCTTCCTTAAAGGCTACTTCCCTTGAGACAGACAGCAGGCTCAAGCTTCTGCTGGGGCAGCGGTGGGGATACCATTATCCCAAGTGTTGGGCTACAACTCTTTCTGGATTCTCAAGAAGTGTAGTATGTGGCACCTATGGTTTCTCCGAACCTTCATTCTCCCTTAGTGGACATTGCCAGGTTCCCTGCTTCACCTCTCCAGCCTGCTACATTTGCCTTCTGCCTTCCTAGAGTCTACCCAGCTGCCTTTCTTAGTTTCCAGCTCGATGCGGTGTCATTCATATACACACAGGGAGCACGCACCTCTTTTCTGTCCTTTCAGCATGAAGCCCAGGCTGCCCCCAGAGCTTATTTCTCTCCTCTCAGCATCCTCACTCTTGAATAATTATAGTGGATGGGGCTGGGGAGATGGCTCAGCAATTAAGAGCACTGACTACTCTTCCGGAGGACCTGGGTTCAAATCCCAGTGCCCACGTGGTGTACTGTAACTCCAGTTCCAAGGGATCCAGTGCCTTCTGGTCTCCATGGGTACCAGGAATGCAAGTGGTGCACAAACATACATGTTGGCAAGACACCTGTGTGTCTCCTCATTTCCTTTATGAAAAACAGCACCGCACCCAGGTCTTCTTAAGTTCAGCATTCAAGGATGTCGCTAAGTGCTTTTCCATCTGACTCCCATTGTCTGCCATTCACCTTGTGACTTAAACCAGGAATGCAGGCGTGATGGTAACTGATGACTCACGTCTTAGCACGTCCCGTGGCAGGTGGGAAGGCTTGAGAAGCCAGCCGAAGCCACCAGTCTCTGTGCTTGTCCACATCCCTGACGATAAACTCCAACTTAACCCCAGGAGCTGAGTTACCCTTTCTGCGGATGGCAACAGAGTCCCCGGACATCCTGTGGTTCCCTTCAGGTTGCACAGGGATCAGTGATGGATAATTGAGGACTTCCAGCAAGGCTGGGGTGTTTGTAGCATAGAGCCAGGCATTCCTCACCAGCTTGGGTAAGTCCTCATCAAGAGCAAAGTGGCCATCAGTAGGGTGGCATCCTGGAACATCCTTAGAAGCACAGTAAACAACGGCGTGGCTGTTTTCAAAGAGACCTCTTGAGCTGACGACTTGAAAGTGTGTTAACGAACCTTGTTAAGGCAAAGGGCAGGCTATGCCAAGCCCTTGTCACCATACGGTCCGTGATGTGATGCTGCCATCCTATGCCGTTTTACAGATGAGAAATGTGTGGCTGGGAGAAGAGGAGCCAGCTGCCGCTGGCTGGCGGGGCTGAGTGTGAACGCCTGTTATCCTTCTCACGTGTTCTTGCTTGACACGTGTGTTCACCCCTGCCCCCTATCCCAGGGGACGAAGGCCTTCATCCGGGGGGGACGAAGGCCTGACTCAGTGAGTGGCTCCTTTATTTCAGACCTAACTTCTGGTGAAGAATAATAGGGTCTCAAGCTGCTCCCTGCCGGCATCGAGGCAAGCTGGCTAGAAGCAACCTTCCGCTGTCACCACCACCCCGGTCGCTACACCCTGTGCATCATCGGCTACTTTTAAACTTGGGGGTTTTCGGGAGTCACAACATACTTTTCTTGTGCTTAATGTTCTGCCTGAGATGCTCATCCCTGAGATGCTCATCCCTGAGATGCTCATCCCTGAGATGCTCATCCCTGAGATGATAATCCCCGCATTCACCTGTGCTGGGGGCGCCTCCATGACGAGCTGATTGGTTTTCTATTCTGGGAACAGGGGCAGTTGACTTTGGCACCCGGCTGGTGAGGCTGCTTCCAAGTGGCACTGTTACAGTCATGTGGGAGAGGTGGGCAGCCGTGACCTGGAAAGGGGCCACAGGGGAGTAAGAGCCTGAGGCTGTGGCACAGTCTGCCAGAAGTCTAGAAGATAGATGATTTCACCTCCATTGTCCCCTCGAGTCCACCTTCTTATTACTGTTTGCGGGGAGGGGCATATGCAAGCTTGTAACTCTAGACTAGCCTCTCCTCCCCGAACCTCAGTTTCCTTTTCTCAGCCAGGGACAAGTAACCACACTGACTTCAGAAGGCTACTTCAAGACCTCAGTGAGATGCGCTCAGCCTAGCAATGGGCCGAACTGATGTACAGGAAATGTGGGTAAGATAGAAGACAAGCTTCTGCTTCTGACTCAGTTAGTGTGCTTCCTAGTCTTGCGACTTACCAGCTGTGCATCCTTAGGGAAAGGGCTTGTGCACTCCGTTTCAGCTTCTGCCTCCTTAAATCATAATCGTAATATTCATTGCCTCCAGGGGTTCACATGAGTTGAGCCTGCCCCAAAAAGCGTAGGGTGAGTTGGACACATAATAATCTTTAAGGAAAAAGCAGCTACAAACATATCTTATACCTTACAATCCCTGCTAAAGTAACCAGCCTTGTGCTGAAGACAGAGGGATTAGAATAGAGGCTTGATTGACAGGCCAGGGCAACATGTGAGCTGGCACTGTGAGGGCCAAGGGGCAGGGAGGGTTGAAGGTAAAGGAGTGGGAACCCTAAGAGGGACAGGTCAGATCAGGATGCATGGCCCGGGTCTCCTGGCTAGCCTCATTTTGTTTGAGGATCAAAAGATCAGGAGGAAGTCAAGCTACTGGTGCTGCGGCTGGCCTCACCGAAGGATAGCAAGATGCATCCTTGGACATAGCTTCTGACACTCATGCTGAGTCCCACTTGGCTTCTGATGGCGGCCCATTCAAACTACTTCTCTAGCAGAAGTTCCCTTTGAACCCCAGCTGCCATTGTCCCCATCCATCCTGATACCATTCCCATACAGCTGACACCTTTGTGTTTGTTACTCAGGATTTGACCATGCCTTAGGATGCTTTCAGAAGTCCTGCCTATGCCTTTACCAAAAGAACACTGAGCTGCAAGGCAAGCATCTAGGCCTCATGTCTGCCACATGAGGTGACTTGGGACCACTGTCCTCTTCCTTCCCCACTGGCCTGTTTGAGCTGCCAGCCTCGTTCCCCTCCTCGGTTCCTCCGCCTTCCTGATCCTGGCCTGTTCTCCTTGCTTACAGTACTGCCCAGCCCTATGTGCTTATAACCCTCATACCCACCCTTCAGAATCCTGTTCAGATTTCTAGCCTCAAAGCTTTTCAGTGGCTGACTGGTTTCTGTCCCCTGCACTCAGGAGTTCTTTTACATATTAACACTTTTAAAATAATTCACTCACTGGGGTTGGAGAGATGGCTCAGAGGTTAAGAGCACTGTCTGCTCTTCCAAAGGACCAGGGTTCAATTCCCAGCCCCAAACATGGTAGCTCACAACCATCTGTAACTCCAGTTCCAGGGGGTCCAACACCCTCTTTTGGCCTCTGTGGACACAAGGCTTACAGATGATATGCAGATATACATTCAGCCAAAGCAACCATGTATACAAAATTAAAAACAACAACAGCAACAAATTATTCATTTACTTAAAAATCCCAGATCATGAGAGAATCACAGACTACAAGCTCACCGCAGGGCTGGCTCTGGCCCTGGCTTAGTTGTCTCTGTACCCCCAGAGTTTCCAGAGGACCTGGAAGAGATAAGTGTTAGTGCAAATGTCCTCAGTGAGCCTGTGTCAGTCAACTGTCCTGTATCCAGAGGTTGCTGTGATTTGGTGTGGTTTCTACTCTTGGGGGTTGGATAAGTGCACCACGGTGTGCATGCATGTGGGGGTCAAAGGGCAACTTTGAGGAATAGGTTCCCACTGTGTTGAGTTGGGGTCTCTCATCTGTTTTCTGTCTCAACGTAGGAGTGCTGGCCTTTCAGGTGCCTGCCACTGCATCCAGCTTTTTAAGTGACTTCTGAGGATCAATATTACATCATAAGCCTTCTGTGCCAAGCACTTTTACCCCCCTGGTAGATTTTAATTTATGGATTTTTCTAGAACTTGAGTGTTGTAAGAAGTATGTCCTTCCAGTGCCCACTATAGGCACTATAGGAGAGTGTGAGGGTTTGAAAGAATTTCCAAAGCTGCTGGATCTAACCTGTTCACTTGTTTGTTTTGAGCTAGGGTCTGGCTGTGTGGCCCAAGCTGGTCTTGAACTTCTGGACTTAAATGATCCTCCTGCCTCAGCCTCCCGAGTAACTGGGACAAATTATTCTGTTTCTAAAAGGATGCCACTTTCTTTTCTTTTTTTTTTTTTTCCTTTTCAAGACAGGGTTTCTCTGTAGCTTCGGAGCCTGTCCTGGAACTAGCTCCTGTAGACCAGACTGGCCTTGAACTCACAGATTCACCTGCCTCTGCCTCCTGAGTGCTGGGATTAAAGGCATGCGCCACCACTGCCCGACAAAGAAGCCACTTTCAAACCTTTTTGAGTCATACACTCCACATCAGAACTTATCCTTGCTAGAGATAAGTTTAATACCACTATTAATCTTTTAACACCTTTTAACGATTCACTACTGATTATTCTAAATCTAGTCTGACCAGCCGTGTTCCCCTTTCCATAAACATTTTTGAAGGCCTCTTACTTCAAGCAGGGATGACTCGTGGGGAACAGGAGGCCCTGGACTAGTTCAGGGGCAGGGGTAGGCGCCGGGCCACCTGGGCGGGTGGAGCAGTGGGCACTCACTGGGCACTCACACGTCACTGTCTTTGCAGCCGAGCCCCTGCCACTGATGGACCTGTGCCGGAGATCCATCCGCTCAGCCCTGGGCAGACAGCGCCTGCGGGACATCGACTCCTTGCCCCTGCCTCAGTCGCTCAAAAACTATCTGCAGTACCAGTGAGCAGGGCCGAAGGCCTGCCTTCATCTGTGGTCACACGGCACCTAGCTCCGGAGCGTCAGCATTGTGTCACTGACTTGGAAAAGGAATGCCTGTTGCCACTGTGGCTGCCAGGACCAAACTGCTGCCATCAGCCAGGACCAGGAAGTCACCTAGTCAACCAGAGGGTAGAGACCATTTCTTTCTCAAGAGAATGAATAAAACATTTGGCAGGAGACAGCGTCCTGTTCCCCCACTGCAGACAGGCCCAGGAAAATTGGCCGCTGGAGAGAAAATAGCTTCTTGAATAATGAATGACGGAAGCCAGTCCTTGATGGTCCCCTCCCTGCCTGCCCCTGGCCAGGGTAGGGAGATTATCCTTCCATTTTAAGACTTAGAACCACTTTGAGAGACAAGTCGCCAGGGACCATGGCAGTGTGAAGAACCTGGACTTTCCTCTCTGAGCCGGCTTCCTCAGCCCTTCCTTTCCTCTCCCACCATGGATAGAGTCCTTTGGCTGTCCCCACCCACCTGTCTCTTCAGGGATGGTAGTCTGATGACCTGCCCCGGGAACAGAGCTTATTCTTGGGTATGATCGTTTAAAGTAGTATTTTGCATTTTGAAAGAGGAGTGTGGTGAAGATGGCTTTCTCCCAAAGGTGCTAAGGAGGATGGGGGCCTCGGGACACTGAGTCTGAGACACCGTTAGAGTCCAGGACTCTGGCCGTCATCATTCAGGGTGAAGCCTGGCTGTCACAGAGCTTCCTTTGAGCAAATTATTTTTTCACTTTAGGAGACTTCCGCGGTTTGTTTCTTGTTTCTCATGTGTGTGACATGCTGTTTATTTATCAGCTGGGGTCCGTGGCGTGGCTTTGGGCCTGGAAGGGTGGGGGTGGCACACAGTCTCTGCAGGCCCTGAGACCTACCCTCTCACAGAATGTTGCTGCTGCTGCCGCTGCTGCTGCCGCCAGCACCATCATTCAGTGTCTTTGGTGTGTTCCTGATATTCTCCACCCAGACTTGTCTTTAACTGGAAATCGTCACAGCGTGGGATACCAGAGCCAGACAGCGCAGCCTCCACTTTAATGTGAATGTGACCTTCAAGCAAGGAACATTTCTAATAAAGTTTGTCATTCTGTCCTTGAGCCAGGTGTCAAGTGCTCTTTCAGGGGTATGGGGACAGCACTATCGATAGGCCTGGCTGGTCTGTCCTCAGATCCATGGGCATCACATCTGGGAGTGCCTCTCCACACATTTTCCCCTCTGCTGCCCACTGTCCCCCTTTGAACCCCAGCCCTAAAGATGCTGCAGAGACCTGTCTGGAAGAGGACATTGTTCCCAGGTCCTTCAAAGACTGTCATACCCCCTGATGCTGAGGCTTAGATCTTCAAGGTGACCAAGGCGAGCCAGGGTAAACCCAAACAGACCAGGGTAAACCCAAACAGACCTGGTACTGGGACTGAACCCATGTGACCACCAGGGAGCAGTGCAAATTGCTGCAGAGTGAGTGAGGCAGAGGTGGGCTGGGCTCTCTGGGACTGGTGGCAGGTAGGCAGTTAGGGGCAGGAAGGGCTCTAGGTCAGGACCAGTACAGGATTCATTCAATAGCATCAGCCACCAATATGCCACACCACAGCAGACCCCGGGGCAGTGCCAGACTGATGTCTTTGTCCCCAGCGGAGACATTTACAATTGTTGTAAGTCCAGAAGCTTAATGGGGAGCAGAGAAGAAGAAGTGGAAGAGTAGTCTCTTGTATCTGGAAGAGCCCATGTGAGACTCACAGTGGCTGCCCACCCCAAGACTGGAAATGGGGAAGAAGAGGCGTCCCCAGACTGCAGGCCCTAGGCATCTGCCTGACTGCTGGCAGCCGCTACCTCCAAAGCTTTCAGTCATTGTGGTTGCTAAAGGCAGCTTCCTGCAGAAGCACAGCCTCAGGCATAGGGTCAGGAAGCCCAGGCACCCTCATTTATAGACAGTGACCTTGGGTAAGTCACTTCCTCCTCTGGACACGGTAGCTAGACCAGGTAGCCAGTGATTAAGTACCTCCCTCTCCTAGCCCCGAAGATCTGAGTGTCCGTACCATCTTCCAATTTGGGTTCAGCTATCTTGTCTTAGCTCCTAAGCCTTTTTGGTGTGGTTTCTCTTATCCCAACAATGCCATTCCCATCCTTATTGACCCTCTTATGGTCAAATGAGACCAGCCTTTCTCTGACTACCTCCTCACGTCCCTTCTTGGGCATGTATCTCCTGACACCAAGGAGCCTATCCTGAGTACCTGGTTTGGGTCCCCTCTGTCCTGTAGCCTCATGTACCCAGTAGGCAGTGGGTCTCTGTAGGGTAGGGCCTGTGCCTGTACTCCACACCATCGTAGATCAGACACAGCACTGCAAAGGCCTGAAGTGGGGCAGGCTGGGCAAAGCGACCGCTGCAAACTAGGCCACCTGTAGAAACTGCAAGGGACGTCCTGAAGTGGAGAAGAGGGCCTCCCCAAGATGAAAACTGCACCCCAAGGGCCACCTGGACCGCTTTCCCTCTCGTGCCCATTGCCTACAGCACTACCCTGAGGTGAGATCTAGGCCAATCCTGCCGGACCTCACAGTTAAGGTGGGGGTGGAGGGTTGCAGATGACCACCCAGCAAAGAAGCCCTGTGGTGTTTGAAGCTGGAGATAAGGCGAGGTGGGGGCTAGGAGTCAGGCCACAGAAAGCACTGGGGAGGTACTGAGTCCTGACGAGGAGTTAGGTGTCAGAGGAGACAGAACATTCATGTACATTCAGGTTTTGCTTTTTTTTTTAGAAAAAAAAAACTCTTTTAAAATGTTGACTACAGCAGCAATGAAGGCAGCCATATCCAGGTATCTTTCCATACTTCACAATCATTGTGAACTATCCCGCCTCTGAATCCTGGGGTTCTACTCCTACCACGGGGTTCTGCACATCTCCTTACCCATGATGGGCTGTGCAGTGACTGGAGGCAGCTCCCTGGCTCTGTCTAACAAGCTCCAGGGTGGCACTGTGACCCTTGCCTTTTCATCATGGCTGCTAACAGACCTCGGGCTGCATCAACAACCGCAACCCTCAGTGCATTTTCTTTAGGGTGGGTGGGATGAAGGGTACACCACATACTGTGAGGGGTAGCTCTCCACTCTGAGATACACTGCTCTGTCCTTCCTGTCTTCTGTGCACTGTTGCTCAGACTCTCAACTTACAAGGAGTGTCCTAAACATACTCATCTACAAAATTCATATTCTAGAATCACACAGTCGGGTTTTGTTAATTGTAAAAACATGTTTAAGTAAGTTTACACTTCTGTGTTGGGACGCATTCGTAGCTGTCCTGGGCCTCATGCAGCATACAGTCTACAGACTGGACGTGCCT